TTCCTTTAAGTTTGAGGGGGGACTTTTCTATCACACAATAAGCCCGATGCATTCCTCCACTTTAACCATCCAACTTGAATTTTGTTGATAATATCCCCATCTATTTCATGATCACTCTGAAAAATATATCCAAGATATCTAAAATGTGTACTCTTATTAACGACTTGATCGACCAAAGTCACAATCCCCTCACTAGGTCTATTGCTACTAAAATTATACTCCATATATTCAGTTTTAGATCTACTCAAGCGAAAACCTAAAGACTCTATGGTTGACCACCATAATTCAAGTTTACCTTCAACTCCCTCTGTAGTCTTATCAACAAGAGGATTATCATCTTAACAAAATTAATTATATTTCGGATTATTATACTTTATTTTTCTTCTTTTGTTTCCAACTTTTGAAATTTAAAATGAAGTTGAATTAATAAAAAAAGCTACTCTTAGAATATAGTTTGGAAAATTTTCATAAAACGATATATGATGAACATCTTTCAATCTACCTTATGGTAAAAAAGCCTATTTTGTGATCTTTCAATTTTAGCCAATAAATGCAAAAATGTTTGCCATCATTTTTACATATAGTTATAAGAAATTTAAATCATTATATTTCATACATACATAAATATAATATAAATTAAGAGCAACTCATAAAAATATAGTATATTTTTTAGGTAGAAATCCGGGAAGAAAAAAATTCTAAGGCATGCCCTAGTTGAAATAACTTTAATAGTGTATATTTTAGATCATAAATAATGTCCTTCCACATACTTGAGGAATATGTTAATATAATATGGGAGATATGAATTATAGATTATGGCTTCCATAGTAGAAGTTGAAAAAGTATTGAGGCATTGAATTTAACTTCATAAAATGGTAATTTGTTTGATCATTCTCCTTAGAATAGGGGAGAGAGACTGAGAAGTTTAGCATAAGCTTTGGTGTTGGTTTCATATGTCAACATTGAAGGTTAATGGAAAGTTATATCAGAGTTAGTGATGGGAAGCGTCAAGGACAATATTGATAACGGGCATATGCCATGTTAGTCATGGCAATATGGCATGCATCAATATTATTGTCGATAGTAAGCGATGAAGTTGATGGATGTTTGGCATTGGTTCATATGGTGTGCATCAACCATATTATTGATAGTTTGCATCGATATTATTGGAAATAGTGGGTGATGAAGCTTGGGGCCATCAAAAATGATGTAGATGGCATATACCAACCTTATTGGCAAAGGCATGAGTCTATTTTGTCAGCAACGATGAGTGTAAAAGCAGAAAGGCGTCAAAATTAATGCTAACATCATACAAAAAATGATGGTTGTTGGTGTTGGTATAAAAGGTGTGCATTGGCTTCATTTTTCAATGACGCGTATCAATATTGTTAATTACAATGGGTGCCAATGTTAGTGTCAATGACATGCATCACCTTATTAGTGATAGTTTAAATCAACATTATTGGTGATGATGAGCAACCAAATTAGGGTGCACGGACATTACTGTTGATGGCATATATTGACAATTTTATCGATAACGTGCATCAACATTCTTGGAGATAGTGGAAAAAAAAAAATCAGCGTGCATTTATCATTTGTACCGATGACATGTATTAATATTATTGGCAATAGAAGATGATGAAGTCGGCAGATATTGTCAATAGTGTTGATAGCATACATCAACCTTATTAATAATAATATATATTGATATTGTTGGAAATGTTGAGCGATGAATTTGACGGGCATTAGCGTTGGTGTCAATGGCATGCATTGACCTTTTTGGTGATGGCATGTATCGATGTTGTTGGAGGTTGTAGGTGATGAATTCAACATATATGAATGTTGATGTTGATGATATGTGTTAGCCTTTTTGGCAATAGTGTGTATTAATGTTGTATTGTAGAAGGTGATGATAGTTAGAAGATGATAATTGAGTGACAATGATCAAGAGACGATAGTCGCCAATGGTAACCATTGATGTCAATCATTAACCAAGGCACTAATATTTTTCATTTTTCAAAGTTCTCTCTAATTTAAGCTTTACATCTCCCTCATGTGGATGAATGAGTGTAACACCTACTAAATCTGTCAACATATACGCCTATTCTGACCGGGTTTGGTAAGTGCAATTTCTACATTCGTGTCTTTTGAATGTGTCTATGAGTGTTCCGAGTGTTGTATGTCTAAATTTGTTCTAACACTACAGGAAAATCACCCATTTCCGGCGGCATTTTCTGGCAGATATTTAGCATTTTTTGGCGGTTTTGTAATTTAGTGGCGGTTTTCCGGCGGTTAAAATTCCGCCGGTAAAAACTGCGCCGGAAAATAAATTCCGGCGGGCTTAAACCTCCGGTCAAATTAAAAAAAAAAAATCCAGCGCTCCGGCCAGCCACCGCGCTGCCGGAGCCTCGCCCTCCACTTCGATCCCGCTCCGGCCAGCCACCACGCTCCCGCGAAGCCGGAGCCTCGCCCGCCACCCTGTTCTCGCATGCAGGCCCCGCGCCCGCCCCCGTGCTACCCGATATATGTTAAGCATTAAGAGTTATAAGGGTCTGCTTCTGATATGCTAGTGCTGTGAGTCATAAGAGCCTATTTTTTATGGAAGGTATAAGAGCCTGAGGGAAATATATTATTTTATGCTATGATATACAAATTTTTTATTTATTTACTTTCAATGCATAGTCTACTTTACCTCAGTTACAGGTTTCTCTGTTTCAGTTATCTGCAATTAACATTATGCTTAGCATGATAAATTTCTAATAACTTGCTTTTAAATTCAATTAAATGCTTAATAAGTTAAATGTTTGGAAATTTATATTGGTGAGGGAATCCTATTGAGGTGTATTGACTCACACATACACTTCTTTCTATTTTAGGTCAGGAAAAGAAGAAAGACCCGTTAAGTTGCTGAGTAATCAGGTTTTGATATGTTTGAGTCTATAGAGGTATTTTCTGATTTTTTTTTATAGTCTTGGTAGTTTGTTTTATTTATGATGAATGAAAAAAAATAGAAACTTATGAATGAGTTTAGTTTTTGTTTATTGGAAATTAATTAGAAGCTTGATTCTATTTTTAAATTTTGAATGGAAGAAATCTGAAAAGAATTCCCTGAAACTTAGATCTTGGGTCTGGCCTATTAAAATTCAACACGATGTGACTTGTCTGTTTGGGGATCATGTCGGGTTGGGCTGTGACAATAGTTTTTAATATTGACACTTAGTAATTTTGAAAAAATATATATATCTAAACACTCCATAGAATAGTCTATATTAATCCCCTTGATCATATATTGTTATGTTGAAACTTAAGTGTCTTGATGACCTTGAAATTGAGTAATCTTAGACTCATTAGATTCCACTCTCCAAGAAGAGTTGCTTCTTTTGATTGCAAGTACACAAGATTCAAATATTATTTATTATTTAATTAATATCATGAACTTTTCAAGTACGCTTCAAGTATTTATTTCGGGCTCATTTAGACTCAAATCGAAATACTTCTGGTTTTGTTGGATTTATCTCATCAAAATATAGATTTTGACTATATGTTTGATAAAAGTGGGGCTCAAATGATTCTAAATTTAACCCAACAAGTTTACAATTCAAGTATCAATCAAATTAATGTTTGGATAACTTATCAATTATATTGGGTTCATTTTCAATCAAAATTTTGACTTGTGCCCCTTGAATTGGAGAAATTGTTAGAAGTTGGTAACATACATAGCTCTACATATTGATAAATAAGTACATTGTTATACTTTCATTATATATAAAAGCAACATAATCTTATGCTCTTTCCTCTAACAACACCACACTAAGTTTTCAACATATAGGCATGCTAGAATGCCCAACCATAGAGGAAATATTTATGGCGCCAATAACCTATGCGCACTGTCATTGCTCTAAATAAACCATTTAACAAATGTAATATAATAAGTCGCGAGTCAAGATCTATGCGTTGGATAATCAATAATTGGGAGGTACACAAATCATTAGCATTTTTTTTAAAAAAAAAATTGTATTGTAAGTTCAATTGGTTTTAAGAAATTGAAGGAAATGTAAACTCATTTTACTTTGTTATTCTTCACAACTTCCTATCTTTTGAGAGGGTGTGATAATTATAGGATTTCTCTAACTATTTTGACAAAGGCTTTCCATTTAGTTCAAAATTACAATAAAATGTACTAGCATTTTAAATGAATAGCACATTTTCTATCACTCAAGCAATATATATCACCTCACATCAAGAAAAACATTATGATTTTGATTGATTGGCCTTCACATCAATCATTTATGTTCAAACAAAATATAGTCTTCTCTCATAAAATTCTTCAAACATTTATTTGTGATTGATTATTCCATGCATAAGAGACCTTTATGGAGTCTCCACAATAAATGTTGGTTTTTCTCCAAGTAATAGTCTTCTGAATTGCATGTTTGAAGCTAAGTGAAGTTGCTAGATATTGACAACAATTGGCAATCTAGTGTATAGAAAGGGAATTTTGATTTTATATTACTTGTAATAGTCATAATTGAAGAAAAAAATCCCACAATTTATTTTCTTAGAATGTGCTTGAATATTCATTTAAAAAAATGCCTCCTCTTATACGTGCGAAGCACTTAATAAAGCCTGCCGTGAATAAAATTACGTCAAACAGGTTTATATTCAAAAATTGGTTTGAACTATAGTTCTAAAATGATTTGAACATTGTTGGATCCACAATCAAACCAACTTTAAATCATGATTGAACAAAAGTCTCAACGAAATTCGAATAATGTATGACCAACTTTTAACCAGACTGGAATTGAACTTGAACAAGGTTTGAATGAAGGATGGAAATCGTGATTGAACCTATTTCAAACCATATTTGAATCCTATTCATATAAGGTTTGAAAATGCTTTGAGGAGGGGTTCATACATGAATAGAATAGGATTTGAACCATGTTCAAATAAGATATTTCAACAAGTATTACAATTGTTTTGATTTTTTAAATTTTATCATAAGAAAAAAATGTAACACTTGCAATAAATCAAAACAAAGCAATATAGTTCTCCCCATTCTATTTAATTTACAATATTTTGTAACAAACCAAAAAACCCCTATAACAATTCCCATGAATGGATTCACATAACTAAACTGATACATTCCCTCTCTTAAAATGATGCAATAATACAATTTCTACCCTCATTGTCCCTCTTCAATTTCATTCTTTAAATATTTTGGTATTTCAAAAAAGAATTCAACTTGCATAATACATGGGAAACTTTGCTAGTTTACATCAAAACTTATAAACTAGCAAAGCTTGTATTGCACACCACAACAGCAATTCTCCACTTTCTATCCTTCTGATATTAAGTATCTTTGCAGACCTGTTAGCACTTATTTATGTCATATTCTGTAATCTCTTTTGCAATCTAAATACCCTGTAGGAGTTTCTTTGTACCTGTGACCAAAACCTGATGGCTTATATCTCTGTAATTTCCAGGCCAGCCCCTCACTGGGTTAAGCAGATGCTGCTTCATCTGCAACCTGAAACCCAGACTGGGAATTCAGGTTAGATTCAATTTTCGATACGGGATTCTTCGTTTGGAAGATTACCCTTGCCCGAAATTGGCTCTTAAGATATCTTCAGCTAGAGTCCAGGACAATAAGTGCCCTCCTGAGTCACCAGTTAGGAGCTGCTTGAGATCATTTGTTATATGCAGAGCTGTCACTGGATGTTTATGTGACTTCAGCACCTTATGGAGTTGTAATCTGTACTCTGGAGCTTCGCCGATGAGATTTAGCCCTCCCGAGCCATTTGTTGGCGACTTGTTCTTCCCACTAGACTCATCAATGTCATTGCAATGCACCATTTTCCAGACTTTCACAGCCCCACTCTGGTGTCCTGTAACATACCAGTTAGTGTCCTGCCAATCTGAAAATGTTGTGCTTGTCACAGACAAGATTAGATCGGATGGGAGCTGTGAAGTGTTGACAACAGCAAGGCAGTCTCCATTGATGCTCCACACTCCCAGAAGAACTCCAGCAGCTGTTAGGATCTCTCCGGTGAGGTCGTTGACATGTATGGCTGAAACCGGTGCCGGAAATTCAGGGAGTTGTTTGACAAAGGCCAAACTTGAAAGATCCCATAAGATGACAGTGCAGTCGTCGGAGCCTGAGGCGATTAATGTGTAAGGTTGGCTGACATAAACACAGGTGACCTTGGCTGTGTGGGCGCAGAGAGCCCGCTCAAGGTGAAGGCTGCGTTGTACTCGAACACTATCTTTGGAAAATCTCCAGACTGCAACTACGCCATCATCACCCCCAGTAACAAGAATCTGACCGTCATGGCTCACTCCAGTACAGAGGATTTGATTCCCACCATGAAGGTTCTCATGAGTGGAGAGGAGTCTGTCTTGATCATAATTCATGATCCTCACACTTCGATCAGGGAAACCCCATGCAATGTACTTGCTGTATGTTCTAGGTTTAAGCAGATTGTTTGAGGCTGCAATAAGAACCTTATCATGGAAGGTGACAATTTGAGAAATGGATGATGGAGACTTGCGGATTTCGTGGGGTAGAAGGTGAGCAGAGTAGCGAAGTGGGTGAAGAGGAATTTTTCTATCAATTCGGCGCTTCGCATGAGGTTTCTGAAATAATTGCTTTGGAGTTTGGCCAAAATGATTGATCTGAGCAAGAATGGAAGCTTTCATGGCAGGATCAGTCACAGAGTCTATGTCAACATTTCCTTCATAGGTGTAGTGATAGAAGACATTTACAGCATCCTCAGCTGCCTGCAAACATTGAATGGATCAAGTTATAGGGTTCAGTAATGACAGATAACAGAGAGTTACTAAGGTTATTACTAACCTTTCCTCTCTGCTTGTAACCGAAAATTAGATCAATCCAGTTATGCAGATTCTCAGAAACATAATCTGATTCCAGCGCTTCCCTATGTTTTCTTATGAATTCCCTTGGACTTCCTTTCGCCCAAGGAGGCAAAATAACATCACCAACCTGAAAAGGAAATATTGCACTATAGGCATAAGAAAACTTGATACATGATTAGGATGTTCATCTCAGCTGAACGCGTTAAGTCTATACGCAACGGATTGGACGGTAAGAAAAAAGTTCAAGGCAGCATTTTAGGGTTGTTTATGGTGGTCTGTGAGTGGTTTGTGGTAGTGAAGGGTGGGCTATGATGCACAGAGACGGACACAGCGACACGGATACGATACGAAATGGACATGGGACACGTCAATTATTGAAAATATAGGACACGGACACGGGTTGGACAAAGTATTATTATTTTTATATTTTAAAATTAGTGTAAAAAATTAAATAAGTATAATTTTAAAAATAATTTAGAAATAATAAATCATTTAACTAGAATTTGTGCTTAAAATGATTAGTATAGAATGTCGAGAGTCGGGCCTCGATGCCATTTATCAATCACCGAGAGAGGAGATGAAAATATCTTCACTGCCAAAGAGAAATGAAAATAAGAATATTTGATGAATGAGCATTAAGTGCGGACGTTGATTTGGGGTTGTGGATAGGAAATAAAAATTTTTGTTTAAATCCTGCAAAATACAATAAATTATATTTAAAAAAATTCATAAAATATTTAAGATACGTGTGTCGGACATGTAAGTCCAATTTGTATTTGATATTTTTTTAATCGGACACATCTTCGGCGTGTCCGACATTTGTCGGAGTGTTGGACGAGTGTCGTGTCGGACACTGCACGCTTCTTTGAGGAGAAGTGTCGGTGCATCATAGAGGGTGGGCTTAAGAAAGGTTGCGATCATAGAAAGGGGAAAAATAAAAACATAAAAAAGAAAAGGATGATGGGCGTGCCTCACCTTCTCACCGGACTGCTTTTCTCCCAAGTCCAGGTTAAAACGATTTTCCAGGAACTCTGGCAAGTAGAAGAACTCAGGAATAAGCTCCTTCACATCTGAGGTATTACCCCTCCCTGCAGCACTCAACCAAGTATCCCTCACGCTATTGAACAAGCGGTCGGCATGGTCAAATTGGCCCCCTTGCAGAGTTTGGTTTTCGGCACTGAATGGTGGCAACCTTAAAAGATAAAAAAGAACAATCCCAGCACTGGAGTAATGAGAACCATAGTGAAATTTTGGTACATCAGGGTCATCCCAACTCTCATATCTGAAAAAAAGACATGAAATTCAATTTAACAACACTCCCCAGTAAGGTGAAAGAGAACAATAGTTCTAGAAGCTATTAATAAATCAAATAGAACCAACCTCTTCTTGAACTCTTCCTCTCCTTCTGGTGTTTGGCATCCCATTGGTTTATCCAATTTTCGGAAAGTTTTTGGATTGAATAAATCTAGAATTTCACTTTCATAATCTGCAAGCACCCATGGAAATACTGGGTACTGCGTCAGATCACTATATCCACGGCCAGCAAGCGTGTTAAGATGCATAAGGTACTGGAAATTACTGATCTCTCCATTTTGCCATCTTTTTGAGAAGGACTTCGCTGCAATCTTAAAAAGGCGGCCTCCCTCATTGCCATCTTGTTTAGAAGCACCTGAAATAGTTATATCCAACCTGCAAGGCGAATATGATTATTAGCATAGTCAGCATACAAGTTCTCTTATCGTAAATAACCATGTCCAATTTCAAGGGGGATTTAGAATGAATATTGACAATGAAGGATCAAATAAGTAAAAATAAAAGAAACAGTTAATTCATTAATTTTATCTTAAAGATGCTTAAATTAGTGGAAGACGATATATCTCCATTACAAATGGAGCAGAAAGCAAAACAGTAGTAGTAATATTGGCATTTACCATAGCCAAAGCAACGCTAAGAAACTATCTTTGATATTTGTTTTATTTATAGATTGATTTGCGGATCTTCATGCACCTACATATTAATGAAAAAGCTAAACCAACGCAGCATCATATTTACTGGATGAGAAAAGCGCTTTGTTATAATCAGGTTCTTATGCAATAGATTGAGGACTCAATGATATCCCTGCTCTATTTTAACTACCGTGGAAGGACCCATTTTTTTAACCGTATAATATGAAAAGAATAGCAAGTGTAAGATTGAGATATACCCTGTCAACAATGGAAAAGGAAAAATAACATAAAACCTTGATTTTAGGCTTGGGAACTACGTGTGTGATAGAAAACAGCCACCAAAATGCAGGAAATTGTTGAATTTCAGAGAAATTGAGCAAGTTTGATGCAGAAATTTCAAACTTAATAGAGAAAACAGCAAGAAAAAAAATCTCCAATTTAACAAAAGAACAAGAAAAACAGCAAGCGATACAAGAATCTTCAATTCGAGAGGAAGATTCAACTCTCCAAATCTCTAGCCAAAACCTAGAGCCCAAAAGCAAAACCCTAGGTCTCAAATTCAGCCTCCAAACTCAAGATAACTCTAACCCTAACCAAAAGGAAATTACTTAAAGCAAAATATAGTTAATTAATCCCTAAACAACCCCCAAGTTTGAATTTTCCCTCCCAAACCCATGAGACTTTCCGCGCCACTACAAGTGATCTTCCAGCTGGGCGAATCGCCCCTCCTCCCGGATTGATCCCAAGGACACGACCCATATCTACAGTAAAGTGAGTCCCGAAGCTTTCCAATCAATGAGTGGGCCCCACCCCTGCTCTGCCCCCCTCCAAGTTCCTCCCCTCTTTGGACCCGCCGCCTGTAGCAGTGAACCGGTCTAGGAGGGAGGAGTTTAGCTTGGGCTGGCCTAACTAGACTGTTGTATGAGCGGCTGAACTAAAGGATGAATGTCTCCCTCATCCTCCAGTCTGACCCCTTCCAAGAGCTGCAATTACACCAAAAATCATCATCCCACTTCATGTATGGTCCTGATCAGAGATTTGAGAGATACCCTAGCCTTGGTTAGCCCAGCATCGCCTTGAATCACCATCCTCCTACCCCTTACCACTAGCTCCATCCTCAGTGCTCCCCAATTGACCTTGGTATCCCCCAAGGTCTGTAGCCATTTCATCCCCAAGATGACATCAGTGCTCCCCAACTCCAGTGAGAGAAAGTCCTCCCTCATATGGATCTCCTGAATAGTCAGCACTACTCCCCTACATACTCCTCTAAATCCCTAGTGTAGGTCCCTAAGGTAGTGGTCATCATGTATGGTCCTGATCAGAGATTTGAGAGATACCCTAGCCTTGGATAGCCCAGCATCGCCTTGAATCACCATCCTCCTACCCCTTACCACTAGCTCCATCCTCAGTGCTCCCCAATTGACCTTGGTATCCCCCAAGGTCTGTAGCCATTTCATCCCCAAGATGACATCAGTGCTCCCCAACTCCAGTGAGAGAAAGTCCTCCCTCATATGGATCTCCTGAATAGTCAGCACTACTCCCCTACATACTCCTCTACCCATTTCAACCTTTCCCGTTCCCATCATTCCACTAATTTCACCCTTAATAGATCTACAATCTGATTGGAGATGAAATTGTGGGTTGCCCCACTGTCGATCAGCACCACCATCTATCTGTCAGCTATTTCTCACTTCACTTTCATAGTGTGATTCGGGGTGAATCCCGCCACTGAGTTTAGAGAGAATTCCACCACATTCAAATGCAACTTCTCCTCTTCCTCCACTACTAGCCTGCTTTCACCTCCCTCTTCAGCTTCCTCATCATCACAGACGGTGGGAACCTAAATAGTTCGGTCCTTACACCTATGCCCTGGCATGTATTTCTCGTCACATCTGAAGCACACCCCCGTTGCCCTTTTCTCCTGTATCTCCTTCTCAATAAGCTTCATGAAATTTCACCCAGATACCCCTCCTCCAATTTTCTCCTTTGACACTTCCCTCAAACTCCCTAGTGTATGTCCCTAAGGTAGTGGTCATCCTGTATGACCCCCCTTCCCTCAAACTCCCTAGTGTTCATCCTGAGTTTAGAGAGAATTCCACCACATTCAAATGCAACTTCTCCTCTTCCTCCACTACTAGCCTGCTCTCCCCTCCCTCTTCAGCTTCCTCATCATCACAGACGGTGGGAACCTAAAGAGTTCGGTCCTTACACCTATGCCCTGGCATGTATTTCTTGTCACATCTGAAGTACACCCCTCTTGCCCTTTCTCCTATATCTCCTTCTCAATAAGCTTCATAAAATTTCACCCAGATACCCCTCCAATTTTCTCCTTTGACACTTCCCTCAAAATCCTAGGTAGTGGTCATCATGTATGACCCCCCCCCCCCTCTAAGTTGCATCCCCTAGCCCTCCTCTCAAGATACTTTTGGTCCTCTACCAACTATGCTAGCTCCATGGTCTCTACCAAATCATGTGGCCTCATCACTCTAACTGTTGCTCGGATCTCCGATTTAAACCCTTTCATAAAATTTTCCTCTAACACTATCTCTGAAAGTCAGTCTAGCCTGATGGCCAAATAGTTAAACTTGTCACGATACTCTGTTATGGTCCCCTTCTGTGTCAGGGAAAAGAACTGCTCATAGAAGTCTCCTCTCCTACTGGTTAAGAAACGTTCTAATAAACAATCCTAGAACTCCGTCCAACTCCGAATGGGTCGACTCATGTCCCTCTATTGATACCATGCCAATGCCTTCCCTTCTAAGCACAGTCTAGCCGTTTTCAATTTCTCCTCTTCTGTCAACCTATTGACTGCAAATTATCGCTCCACCTTATAGTCATCGCCCTCAAAGTTGTGCATCTTCAGATTTCTCACCTTTGGATCACCCCCGTTTCTCCTGAATCCTTCATAGCCTCCTCTTCCTCGAAGAGAAGGTGCCCCCGAATTGTCTGGATCTTCCCTTCGGCGCTCATACCCAAATCCTTCCTCAAAATCCTCTCTTCTTTCAAAATCAACACCTCGGCAATCGAAATCATCCCCTCCTTATAAATTCAACACCCTTCTTTCGTAGTCCACGCTCATATCCTCCGTAGAAAGTAGTTCTAGAAGAGGCATTCCGTCTTCTCCCTCCAAGATCTCCACTTCTGGATTGCCCCTTCCTCTAAATGTGTTAGGGTTCCCACCTCTTTCATGGCCACCAGTAGATTCCTTTACTTCTGATGTCGCCGGATTGGATTTGGCTTCAAGCATTTTCTTCAGCATGCCTTCCACCACGGTGAACTTTCCCTTTATCCTTTAATTGACGGATGCGATCAGATTTTGAAAATAAAAAATCTTCTCATCAAAATTTGATTTGAGTTGCCCAAGCTCTCCCTCCAAAACTTCCACTTTCCTTCCAGCCATTGGTTCACCTTAGATCGACATTCTCTGATAACAATTTGATAGAAAACAACCACCACAATGCAGGAAATGCTGGTTTGATGCAGAAATTCCAAATTTAGTAGAGAAAACAACAAGAAAAAAAATCTCCAATTCAACAAAAGAACAATAAAAACAGCAATCGATACAAGAATCTTCAATTCGAAAGGAAGATTCAACTCTCTAAATCTTTAGACAAAGCCTAGAGCCCAAAAACAAAACCCTAGATCTAAAATTCAGCCTCCAAATTCAAGATAATCTTAACCCTAGCCAAAAGAAAATTACTTAAAGCAAAATATAATTAATTAATCCCTAAATAGCCCCCAAGTTTGAATTTCCCTCCTAAACCCTTGCTCCAATCAATGAGTGGGCCCCACCCTTGTCTCTCCCCCTCCAGGTTTCGCCCCTCTTTGGGGTCGCCTCTTGTAACAGTGAACAAGTCCAAGAGGGAACGGTTCAGCTTGGGCCTGCCTAATAGTGTGTTGGCTTTAGCCATGTCAACTCATATCATGTCGCTAGAATTCCTAGCCTAAAAAAAAGACCAATCTGTTAGGTAAGCCCTGCTTTTTTTTTTTTAAGAATTTGGTTGCATCCATTAAGCCTGGTTAAACTCCTCCAAATTGTTCAAGCAGTTTAACTCCTAAGATTTTCAATGTTTAGATTTGGACAACAAAGAAAAAGTGATACAGAGTCTCTCCCTTGGTGCTTCTTCTCCAATGGGTGTTGCAGAGTAATTTCGCCAGTTCACCCATCGTGTCTCAAGTGAACTCCGATCGAGCTCGAGTCGAGCTCTCGAGTCGGGGAGTTAAAGGATGAGCTGAGTTTGATTTCATTTTCTGGGCTCAACTTGAGCTCGAGCTCTAGTTCGAGCCGGTTTTATGACAAACAAGCCGAGCTTGAGTTTGCTATGACTCAAGCTCGACTTGTCTCGTTTACACCCCTAATCTAGATGGATGTCTTGTACACAAGGGTTATGCGTACGCCTTTAATTGGAAGTTTTATTACCATAGAGAAGATGACAATAGAACTTGTTTATGAACATCTATCAAGCCTGTAAACTAGAAATATATGCATGCCACTTATGACATTAGATCTAGAAATATATGCATACCACTTTTGACATTTCTAACACTTGTGAGATGGATGAAGCATAAGATACGTTTTGATACCTTGATACTAAATCGAATTAGAAATCATATTTCATCAAATAAAATGTACTGGAATATCTGCTAAGAATAATATTTACATTCTCATAAAACAACATTCATTTAAGCATCCCATGGTTATTCATATGAAGGAATTCGTATAACTTAAGGTAGTTACTAAGGTTTTAATTTTTTTTTTCCTTTAAAATTTGGTGGAGTGGAATAGGCAAGGGGAAGTGATGCATATGGGTGGCTAATATTTAGATACAATTACCTTAAAAAAATAACTCTAATACTAATTGATAAAGAAAGGAAGATTTGATATGAGAATGATTTTATGATGCTGGCCATTATTAATGATTTCTTTCTTGATTTTCCTCTTATTTGACTAGCTTGATTGCTCCATTGAATTCACCCTCAAACGAGAAAAGATATTTAGATAAAAAGAGATTTTAGAGCATGTAAAGAAGAGGAAAATCAATTTTTGAAAAAAAATCATAAGTAATACTTTGAAAAAATCGTTAGTAATACTCAATGGCAAAGAGTAGAGTATAAAGGAGAGGATTTTTTTTAGATGCAATTCATTAATTAATAATTAGAATAATATTCACCCATCCTTACGTACTAAAATAAAATTACAAATTTAAATTTCAACTAATTTACAACTAAATCAAAGTTATAAAAATCATACTACATAATTTAAAATAAAAGTAATTCTAAAATTAAATATATTTTAAATTGAAATCAAATGTAAAAAAAAATCTTAAAATAATAGGATAATATGAAATAATATTTACATATGCCTTAAGCTGCATGAGATAGCTTTGTCGTATTAGGATTTAAATACAACAACAACAACAAACCTTTAATCCACTACGTGTGGTCGACTACATAAATATTTTTTCTCCATTGTGTCCTGCTAAGAGTCAAAATCTAATTTAAATCTAATAAAAAAGGTCATTTCGAATATTTTCTAACCAAGTTTTTTTAGATCTACCTCTACTTTTCTTAACATAGGTCAAATCTAATACATCTACTTTCCTAATCAGGTCATCGAAAGGCCGATGTTTTATGTGACAAAACAATCTAAGGAGAGTCTCTCAAATCTTATCTGCCACTGGAGCTACTCCAACCTTTTCATGTATATGCTCGTTTTGCATTTTGTCTCTAAGAGTAAAGCCACACATTCACATGAGCATCCTCATCTCTGCAACACTTAACTTAATTTTATGCTTCACTTTTAATGGCTAACATTCTGCATCATAAAACATTGCAGGTCTCACCGCCATCTTATAGAATTCTCCCTTAAGTTTGAGAGGTATTTTTCTATCACACAACAGGCTCGACGCAATCTTCACTTCAACCATCCAACTTAAATTCTACTAATAATATCCCATTTATTTCACCATTAGTCTGGATAATAGACCCAAGATATCTAAAATGTGTACTATTATTATGACTTGATTGGCCAAAGTCACAATTCCCCACTAGATTTCTTATTACTAAAATTACACTCCATATATTTAATTTTAGATCTACTCAAACGACAACCTTTAAACTCTAAGATTAACCTCCATCATTCAAGTTTACCTTCAATCCCTCTCTAGTCTTATCAACAAAAAGAATATCATCAGCAAAACGCATACACTAGGGTACATCCTCTTGCAAATGTCTAGTAAAAACATCCATGACTAAAGCAAACATATATAAGCTTAAAGTTGATCATTGGTGTAATCCAACTGAAATAGAATAAATACTTGGTCAAACTAGCGTGCTTAATAGCTCTTACATGCATATCCTCAATGACTTGAGTATAAGAATTATAAACCCCTTTCTTTTCTAAAACTCTCCATAACACTTCTCTTGGAACTTTATCATAAGCTTTCTCTAAATCAATAAATATCATATGTAGATCCTCCTTATTCTCTCTATACTTCTCCATCAAACCTCTCAATAAATGTATAGCTTCTATAGTAGACCTACACAACATGAATCTAAATTGATTTTAAGAAACATTAGTATCATTTCATAACCTATGCTCAATAACTCTCTCCCATAGTTTTAAAGTGACATATTAACTTAATTCATCTATAATTCACACACTTTGGTGCATCACCTTTATTATTAAAAATATGAATCAACACACTCCACTCATTTGACATATTTTCAGTCTTCAAAATAATATTGAAAAATTTCATAAGCCCAAAAATTCCTTCATCTCCTTAGCATTTTTCACATCTATATTGGAATATCATTAGGTACAACAACTTTTCCACACTTCATTTTCTTTAAAGCCTCTATAACTTCAATTTTACTAATATGCTGTTAAAATAAAAAATTTCTATTTTCATTTAGAGTGTTAATGCATCTAAAATCAAAAGTATTTTTACAATCTTCATTGAAAAGCTCATCAAAATAACTCATCCACCTTTATTGAATATCCTCTTCTAATAAAAAAACCTTTTTCTTTTCATCTTTAATACACTTTATTTGAACTAAATCGTACTTTTTTTTTCTTGGATAATTTATACATAAATCTTTGATCCTCCTTAATATCTAATATATTATATAAATCATTAAAAACTAAATTCTTTACATCATATATTACTTTCTTACTGACCCCACAGAGGGACAAAAGCTTGTTGTTGTTGTTGTATATATTGCTTTCTTAGACTCTTTACGGGCCTCATTATATCTTTTTTAATTTTCCAAGATATTACATCTAAACTAATTATTATAATAAAGCTTCTTATTTTTTTGTATTTTCTTGTTCATTTTGATTCCACCGCCAACTATGTTTCACTATTAGAGTTTTTCCTTCTGATACTCTAAACTATCCTTTGCAATATTCCTAGTATCATTAGCTACTTTTTTCTCACGTAACATTAGTTTTCTCATATACAATCAAAATCTTAAGATCTTGAATCTTATTCTTAAAGATATTTTTCTTAGTGTTTTTTAAATGCCCCCATCTAATTCTAGGACAATATTTTACTTTATTTTTCATATTATATCATTCATCTTAAAATCCAAAACTAATAAGCGATGATGGGCACAAAAACTTTCGCTCGAATAATTTTATAAACTTTACATTCTAAACGATCTATTTTTCTTATAAAAAAATAATCAATCTGAGTTCTATTATATCCATTCTTAGAATTGATGAGATGCTCCTCTATTTTCTTAAATAAGGTGTTAGCAATTATAAAATCATAAGCTAGAGATAAATCTAATATGGTTCTAGCACTTTCCCAAACCCATAATCATACTGATTGCTTTTAAAATCTTATCCATCTCTATTAATATGTCCATCCGTTTAAATCTATTCTAATAAAAACTCTTTATTCAAGAGGTATTTTTTGAATTAATTTTTCTAAGTCATTCCAAAATTTTAATTTTGAATAAATATTTAAACCTATTTGAGGACCATAATCACTTATAATATTAATTATCTTAGCATCAATAACAATCTTTAAAGCTACAATTCATTGTGTCATGTCGGACACTGTATGCCTCTTTGAGGAAAAGTGTCGGTACATCACAGACAATACAGCACACAAGTGATACAAATACATCTTTCGACAAGCGTCCTTGAAGCATAAGAATAAAGAATATCACACATCCCAATCCAGAATTTTTTCTTTAGGTTTCTCAAAATTTTTATTCTTATGAATTGACCATTGCCTTCATTTTATAAGATGGATTACACAATTTGATATAACATTTCTAGACTGAAATAAAGAAAAGAAAATTTAGCCGTTTTGATCTAAAAGAACAAATGTACCTCCACATAATGCATAATGAACAAACGAGTCCGTACAAGTTCCTAAACTAAATACTTCCTATGATTGGTCAAACAAAGATTCAAGGACAAATCAACAGCTTAACAACTGTAAAATAAATAATCAGTACACCCGAGAGATTATGGAAAAACAAAAATAGAACAGAAAAAAAGGGTCAAAGTATGAATGCATACATGTTGTTGCGAGGAAGATTCATGGCAACTAGGTTTCTGAAGACTTCCTCCCGCTCCTTTTTGTGAAAAACCAAAAGGTCGTTGCATCCATCCATGCTAAAAATCTCAACAGCTACAGGACGAAGTTGGTATTCACGTTTCACAAGTTCATAAACATTATCAAGCTTCCACATATGCCATGAATGGGGAAGATTACCACTGGTACAAACTTTCTCCTTCCCCCATGCACCCCCATTGTAAGCCCATGCTCTTCCACCAACCAATGATTTTGAACTAATGCTCCATGTAGAATGTGACTTAGACTGGAATTCAATGCCTCCTGAAATATCCTTCTTCACACCCAAAGCTTGGTCTATAACAGAGAGTTCATCTTCAGTCTCCTTCTCACATATGCATCCAGAATCATCAATGTAGAAATTCTCAATGACATATAAGCAGAGGTCCCCTATAAGAAATATACCATCATGCTTGTCTAAGCCTACAACTCTTTCACAATTATACTTGAATCTTATTTTTTCTGACGGTTCAAGATAAGGCCTGATAAGATATTCACCATTATCATGCAGTTCTTTCTCTGATTTCTCATCAACACCTTTCAAGTCTTCACCCCTCATGGAGGGTGACTGTCTTGGAGAGCCAATGTCAGATCTTGCATTGAAACTCTCTGTTATTCGAGCAGAACCAGAACTAGACTTGACACCAGGTTCTTGAGCAAACTGAAGACTTGGCTCATTCACACTGCTGGAACGATCATCGGTCCAGGAGCTGTGGCCAAATCCTGACCTTTCAACTTTGAACTCATCAATGTCCTTGAAAAGAGACTCTTCATCATCCCCATTAAACTTCTGCTCACCAGTTTCAGCCAAAAGATTGAAATATGGATCAGAATCAGCTCTCGGGGTATCCAGACCAGTTTTTTCCCTCAATAGCTTATTGTCTCCAAATCCAAATCCCCTTGTCAGAATGCTCTGAAGTATATCCAGTTTTAAGCTGCAACGTTCAAGTTTCTTGCGCATGCGATATGGACCTTCAATGGGACAAAGCTGCCATTGAGATTCTGAAGAAGAAGAGTAGACGGGGAATATACCTCGTTCATGAACAAGCTGTTGCAAATGAGTATGCCACTCACTCTCAGCATGGAGAACCCATCCATACTTATCTTGGCGTATGACCCTCAGTTCAGTTGCCATCAAATCACGAACTAACTCAAGCGCATATCTCCTTTCATTTATTTGTTCCAAGTGTCGTACGTCAAATCTTGAGGCATCTCGTAATTTCCTTGCCATTTCTCTCTTACGACGAACCTCCATACCTTTGATACGCACTCCAGGGAATTTTGCTGACCCAGTAACACATTGAATCCACATAATAGCAGCACATTGCTCCAAAACCATATTAATAGTCTGTTCTGACTTCTGAAACCATTCAGAAAACACCAAGAGATTTCCTGTTAACAATTTATCAAAACCACCATGCAAAACATCCAAACTTTTTCCCTGGTTTGGCTTGGAGACGAGTAAATCCTCAAGAGCTGGTCGACGATGCAATAATAGATGTTTGAATACATCCACTGCCAGTTCTCGAGCAGCTTGTCGTTTGTCACGGAGAAGAGAAATGAGATTTATACAAAGGCAACAAACCAAATCAGTGTCAAGATTGCTTGGACAGAGAATAAGTCTTTTGTTGGCCACTATTAATTGCAAAACTGTACATATACTGATAGTAGATTCATCCTGAACCGTCTTTGTACCAGAAACTTTACCACTCTCTGCCAGAAAGCCCAAATTAGAAATAAACTCATCTTCCACAATAGATGCTAAGAATGATGGCATAAAACAATACATTATCATACGGTTTGTATTTTTCAAAATTGCATGTATATATGCTTCAAGTTGCCTACTTCCCCTAGTAATGTACAAAAGGCCTTTGCCTACAGGAGACGCATCTTGAATGCGGCCATCTTTGTTAGCGAGTTGCAACATGGACAATAAGAACTCTAGTGTTCTCAACACCCCAACAGGCTGAGGAAAAGAGCCCATATAAACACGGTCTACAATCATCCAGCATAGGCTATCTAGATTCACAGACCAACGGCTCTTGTCGAGTTTCTTCTCATTTTCCTCATCATCAAGCAAGAGACGCCTTTCCAAGAAGTTCAATAATCTACCTAGGCACAAACCTTGGAAAACTAAAGCTGAATCAGCATCTACATACAAAGGAACAGCTTCTAAAATGCTTTCAAGAAATTGAGTTGCCTTCAACTGCTCTAAGACAACATCCGCAAGAACTTCAGCGATGAAATCTAGAATAGCAGTTGCCCCAGCAGAACAAGGGCCACCTCCATATCCAAAATCATCAATTTCAAGTAATACTTTTGTATTGATTGGAAAATACATGTTTGCAGCAGATAAACCATGCAATATTGCCCGTGCATCAGGCGATGTTTCAAATTCCTTCATGGATAAAGATGATCCCATGGGTGACGTAGCAGGCAACACTCCTTTTGCATCTTTACCTCCAGTACTGCCAAGCCAAGAAGTTAGCACAAGGGCAGGTGAGGCCGGCGTTATGGATAATTTAGAAAATGATTTCTCAGATAGAATAGGAGAATCTGGCGGATAAACTGATGCAGAGCTTAATGAATCTGTTGGAGGGGTTAGATCTGCAATTCCGTTTGAATGATTAAATTTCAACTCAACTGTCTCAAAACTAGTTGTATTCTGCAAGATTTCAGGATTCTCAAAATTTTTGAGAGTTTGTGTGTTTTCGCCTGTTGTGATAGATTCCAAAATGGGAGAAGAAGCCATTTTCACAACACTATCACTAACAAAGGTATTCATTCCCACTATATCTTCTGAGCTACTACTCTTCTGCTCTTGCGGAAAACTACCTAAGCTCACAGAAGTTTTACTGGACTGCTCTTGATCTGCTGGCAAGCTCGTATAGGTATTCTGCGAGCTAGAATTATCATCGTTGTCATTCATGCCTTTCTCATCATTTTCTGTAGGCTTAAGATTTTTTGCCATCCTCATCGCACAATCAGCCCTGGATGACAAAAAGCAGTGAAGAAAAAGAAAAGATTGATCTAGTGAGACAGCAAGGGGTTAAAGGTAAAACAGAAAAAAACAGACCAAACTAAAAAAATGAAAAAGAATAGCTGCCAACAAACCTTACACATGAAAAATATAAGTCTACACAGCTCTCTAAGAATTCTGGTCGCCTGCATATTGCAGAGAAAGGAGGGCACATCTTTGCCAAGTCTACCATGAACCGCAATATCGACATAGCTGTGGCAGGAGCAGCAGCTTCCCCACCCATCAACCGTGCTGCATATGTTTTATGCATCAGAGCTTCACCCTGAAGATCACCTCCAATGTCTGTTGTGGCCTCTACAAGCTCCGAGACCAAGCTACCATTTAGGTGTGACATATTATCATTTTGTTGTGCAAGCATGACTTGCATGCTCAATCTATCAAATGTATTTTTGGCCATAGTAACTACCGATTCTAAAAGATCCACAAACTTTAACTCCACATATTTACCATCACTAGGCATAAGGACATGAAAGTCCAGCATACGAACTTCCGGCATCCTTGGATATACAGCCTTTCCAAAAATCAGACAGAAAAGAATATAATATATTTCAGGAGAATCATAGAAACTTGGAAGTACACGTGTTAAACCTTGAAAACCTCCACTACTACGGAATTTAAGGGTAAAAGTGGGAGAAGATGCAAGACAAACTCCAAGAAGAGTCATGATCCATCTCATACTGGTTGGATGTACTGCTTCATCAAGAAAATATGTTATCAACTTAGACGAAACAATCTTATGCCATTGCTCTAACAGCTCATCAGAAGTTATAGTCACTTGCAAATCAATAAGCATCTCCAGCAACATATTCCGCACAATAACGTGCTTTCCCATTGTCTCCCGCGCAACATGATGGAGTGCAGCCAGTACTGGTGGATCAAATGTCATTATCACAAACCTGACAACAAGTTCAAGCTCTGAAACTAAAAAACCATCCTCTAGAATAACACCTAGTAGCACCACAAGTTTTTCCAGAACAGAGACTTCAACATCGCCCCTTTGCAGTGTCACAAGAAGATGCTGCACAAGGTTTATCCTACGTAAAATTGTCAGATTATGATTCCTATACCAGTGCATGGAGACTAGCCGCTCAAGAAACCCAAGCAGTGCAATTTGAACAGAAACAGGAGCTGTGACCCACAATGTCCAGTCTAAAAGGACATGCTCAACCATATCAGCATTAGAAAGAACAAAACAGTTTGAATTTTCTTCGTGTAACTCTGAATTTTCAAGCTCCGATATGTGACTGAATGAATCCTTCTGAATTGAGAAGTCATCTAAATCGGCCTGAGATCCAATAGATGATATTTCATCAGAAAATTTCGGCAAGGTAAGATTCATGAGACTGGTCTCCGCTGAAGTTCCAGAGGGGAAAGATACTCCTCTGCTTATTTTGGATTTTTGAGGTTCTGAAAAGCAAGCTTCGCATGCAGCAATCCGGAAGAAGATCTCCAGTGATGGCAAGTCAAACAATGACATCCTACGATGCAAGAAAAGGGCAAGTAGATGGTAGCCTCGTAATGCTTGCATTTCCTGCACGTTCTGAGGGCATTGATGAAGTGAGTATGCAAGTAGCTCCAGTGCCATGTGCAACATGTCCCTAGTTTCAGCAGCTTCAACAAGAGAAAGGACAATAGACATCCCGCCAATTGTGCGCACAGTATCTCCAATAACACGTTTATTACATATGTAGATATCTCCATTAAAACGGCCATAACGTGGTATACCTGCAAGCCAAGGTAGCATTGATGATCCTTTTTAAGATTTAAATATATAAAAACAGCAACAACAAAAAAGTAAAATGATTTACACACCACCGATTGGAGAAGCAGCAGCAGAGGTTGGATCAACAAGATTGAGCAAGGAAAATGTTCCGGATGCTCTAAATACATCAGAAGATGATCCATCAAATGAAAAAATAAGCTTCTTCCCTGATAGCTGTAAAGCAAGTCTCCCCAGTCTTTCCAAATCCCAAACTATTCCACTGCCATCCATTTTCAAATTCGCCTGTTTGGTAGAAGAATCAACTTTCTGCACATTTGCAGCTAAGGATAATTCAGCATCCAGTGAATCTAAGATTGCCATACTACCCCCACCACAGGCCTGGCTTGGAACGAAACGCAGAAGATCTGTATCTTGAAACAATCCCCTATAACCTTGGCCAAGAATATACATAAAACAAATGTTACCTGCTGTAAGTACTTCCTCAAAAAGATAACAGCTACCAAGTCTCCATGAAAGATCTGTAACTTTAGCATGAGTAATTGGGGAGCCAAGAGTAACTTGCAATGATTTTCCGGCGGGAGATGGTGAATACCCTAGCTTTCCAGTATGTCTTAGTTTTCCATCAATATAAATATATGCTACACTAGACTGGAATAATCCAGCCAATGCATTAGGCTTACTGTGAACAACAGCAAGGTGATGCCACCTTCCTTCATGTAGTTCTATGCCAGGAAATGATAATGAAAGAGAGATGCTTGTTGCAAGAGTTAAAACGCCATTATCTTGGAGGTAAAGTTCTGCATAGAATGTGTTTCCATCATCAACTGCTCCAACTGAAAATAAACGCAGCACAACTCCACCAGAAATACTTCTTCTAGAAGATCCAGTCTTGGACAAAGATTCTGAATCCTTAACCTGACTTTTTAACAAGTTTCTAAACTGAAACCAACAAACAAAAGAATATCCCGCAGCAGGAGGCCACATTCTTTCCCCTAGCGACACCTGAACAGATGCATAACCAACTTTACTCATGTCCATCTCAACAAAAGGAGCAAGAGAAACACTCTGCACCCTCGTATCTCCAATTCGGATTAGTTTCTCCAGCATATCAACAATGAGATGACCGGAACTTTTTACTTTCATTTGAACAACATATCTTACAAGGATTTGAAGCTCAGAAGAAGAAAGCCTGTGATGATTGAAATTCTCGTCATAAATTACATAATATATCGCATGAAGCTATATTATAATGAGAAGCGTCACCAAAGAGTAATTACCTGTAAGCCCCAAGAATCTCCACAATTTGCAGAGTATGAGATAGTAATGGAGATGAGCTAGCAAGAAACGGGTTAATCATCTCTAGAAGAAGTCCAATAGAACCTAGGTAATAAAGAACCCAAACTAAGTGAATAGCATTACTATTTATGGAAAACTTGAAAAGGAATATTAAGTGTTATGCTTCTTACCAATAGAGGTTAAGCTTTCTTGGTTGAAAGGGCTAGCATGAGCAAGCTTCTCAATGAACTTCAGTACCTCCAGTTGCACTTTTGGAGTAAAAAGCAACAAGGACCGGATCAGCAGTCCCACAGCACTAGCATTATATACCCGCTCTTGGTCAGGCCTGTCTATAGCTAGTGAAGGATTTGAAAGAAAACTGCATTCCTCCTCAAAAGTATCAGAAGACGACCCACTTTCTGCTTGCATAGATGGTGGAGAAACAATTTCAAGAGCCAGCTCCAGTAACAACTGGATGACTTGTTTTTCGCAATCCACACATAGCAAACCAGACTCGCATAAAAGATCATGAAATGTCGGTGAAGACATTATTGCATGAAGTCTTACACGATTAATGGGATTATTGCATACTCCTGCTGTTATAACACGCAATAGAAAACTGAAAACTTTTGTATTGGCAAGTAAAGAAGAATGTCGAGTGGCATCATCACTATTTTGGAAACTATGTAATGTAGTCAATAGAAGAGAAAAGCCTGTAGCTTCACCAAAAACTCGTTGTGCAGAATTATTTGAACCAAGTATACGCCATAGTGTTCCAAAAGTGTCACATTTAGCATTGTTTTCAAGTTTATATTGAGACCCCAACACGCTTGTGATCATTCCACTCTTAAGAACTTCAACCAGTGAGCCCAATTCCTCATGGTGAGTCTGGTAAAGCAAAACTGTCAATGATTAAAAATAAACATAACAATAACAAAAAGTAATGCGTCTCTGTACAATAAGAACGGATGGTAAAAGCAACGCGTCTCTGTACAATAAGAACGGATGGTAAAAGCAATGCGTCTCTATACAATAAGAACGGATGGTAAGCTTTCTTAAATAATATTTACAGTAAACAAGACATTGGATTTCCCAGATTCTTTTTGTTAAAAAAGTTCCATGGCCATCCGAGATGACAATCCTTAAAGTTCTAGGAATGAGCATATATTGTAAGAATGGATAAACTTGCATACCTGCAGAGAATCTTCAATTATCAAACAGGATAACAACCGCAGAACCCCTGATCGATGGCTAACTGATGCCAGAAAGGGAAGAACAGTACTGAAACCATTACATGAACGAAATGATTGTTGGTTTGTTTCAGATTTCTTCAATAAGGAAGAAAGGCAATCCCAGGCCACAGCTGAGGTACCCTCATCCTCAAATATGGGAAACTTCGAAGAACCGGATCCAAGAAATCTGGGAGATGAAAGGATGGCATCTTTGTCCGCCATATGTTTCTTGAAGCCGCTAGAACTTAGGGTTTTCTCAAAAGTATTGGATGGATTATTCTGCTGTTCAATGCCGGAGATAAACTTGTGCTGTCGTAAATCATCCAGCAGCACCTCAAGGACACCAACTTCCCTGAGAACTTTTTTATATTGCTGATCAAAGGATAAAAGCTTGACAAAGAAGGAAAGAATTGTGTGCTTTAGAACAGTGCTAATAGGCTGCTGCAATAAGCAGCAGAGTGAAAGCAGCTCTTGTTCCGGAATACAGTTCACAACAGTAACAGCGTATTCCAATATTTTAAGAATTATTTCCTGAAATGAAGCAGGAAATCCTGCCATATTTAGAATGAACAGAGGAACCGTCCGTAACTGCTGACACAACTTGTAATTGTCCAGATGACTTGAAAATATTTTAAACATTCTATTCAACACCTCTGCTTGCAGTTCTACATTGTCTGCCTTCAGAAAAATGTCCTGCAGCATCTGGATTGCTTCAAGGTCTTTGATCCTCATGTCGCCCTTTTCCCACATCTCATCACCAAACCTTTCGCGAGAAGATGTGCGACTTCGGTTATGAGTAGAAGCCTTCCCATAATCAGATTTTGAACCTCTACCAGTAGAAATTGGGTCTGCAGGGCCTGTTTGTGCAAGGTTTACTAGAACATCAAGCAGCCTTGACAGTGTTGGAGAAAGTTGGGATTGGGGGGGATCCCCTCTACCAGAGAACTCCTGTTCTAACACGAATGAAGAATCAGAATTTTGAAAGTAAGAGTCTGGATTAGCAGATTGAATGATCGTATCCCTATGCAAGCTGGATAGTGTTAATGCAAACTGTACGAGATATTGATAGCCATGAGCATTGTGTATATCTTCCCTAAGTCTAATTTGACCAGCTTCTGCAATCAAAAGCAATTAACAACAGGTTGAGAAAGTTAACTGCAATGAGCATTTTCCAATAATATGACAAAAAGGAAAAACAAGCTGAACTTATATGCAAATCAAAGAAGATAATAGCAGTTCATGGATGAATATACCAGGTTTAGCTGACAACTCCACACATTCAAGTAGCAAATCTACGATGCCCATTGTGTATGCAGGATCTCCTTTCTCAGGATTGAAGTCCTTCACTGCCGTAAGAAGGACTTTGATCTAAACATAATATCGAGCATCTAGTAAGGGGTGATGAGAAAGATCAAAAGGAAGAAAACTAAAATTTAGCCATAAACTGATAGAAAGGAAAGCCCAAGGATCTGCCAAGACAGTTAACTTGTTTCTATCTTTCCTTTCTCTTGGCCATGCGCTTCCACAGACATGCTATAGTAGAGAAATATAAAATCAAATCATTGCCATTTTGACATTCAGTGAATATCTAAGTTTATGCTTGTGGAATGGTTTTAAATGGAAGCTCAAATAATTTCTAATACAGATGCTTTCCAGTTCTAACGTAGTTTCAGACATGCAGCAAACTCCACTATCATCCTTTAGTGACTCGTAGCAGGTTCAAGAGAAAAGAATTCAACGTAATAGATAACCTTCACAGAGAAACCATATGAGAAGCCATAAAAGAAATCTCAAAATTGATTCAAATCTCAAAGTCTATAGCCATCGTTGACATAAGATGCTTGTGTTGCAACAATCAGTTTGTATTTTGAATTTTGCATTCATAAATTTTGTATTTTGAAATTAGATTGTAATCAATAAGTTGTGTTAGGTGAAATCTCTCCAAGAAATTCTTTGATTTCATATGCATTTATGAAACTGTGTTCAGAAAAATTAAAGGGAATTCATATAAGCCATAAACACTCAACAAAATATAAAAAATTTTGAAACCCCAAAAGTAAAAAAAAAAAACTAAGACAAAAGCAAAAAAAAATCAATTAAAAAGATTTAAAAGAAAATACTTAAAAGAGAAAATGAAAAAAAAAAGACAGAAAAATAAAATAAAATGTGTTTAAAAGAAAATTTAAACACAGTTCAAAGAGAATTAAAAAAACTTAAAGAAAAGAAAAAAATACAAAAATAAAAGGAAAAATAATCAGTTCAAAAAATAAAGATGTTAATTTGAGTCATTGGCATAAACTTAAAATAAAACAAACCTTAGCTTCTTATTATTAAATCGGTCTAAATTCTAAACACAAAAATTAAAACCACAACTATGGAACTTAAAAGTGTGATTTATTGTGTCTTAATTCAAGGCATTCGCCTCATATGTATCCAGGTATATAGCCCCGAGGCATAAGCCTCAAATGAAAAAAGCATACAAATCATTTAAACAAAAAATTGTAAGCTTTTAGGTACTTATTGGGCACCTCATAATGAAGCACACCTCGAGGCAGACACATCAAATGCCCTTTAAGCAAGGCATTCAAGGAACAAAAACAACGCTAAGAACAATTGGTTGAAATTTTGAGATTATATTCATTTTTAGAAATGCAAAAAATCTAGGTTCATGTACTCATACAATAAAAGTTTTTAAAAAATGAATATATGGCAAATGCAATGGAAAGAGAGATCATTCTAGGAAACTGAAATACATACCAGATGATGCTTGTGTATATAGTTTGCAGTACTTCCGTTATCATTAGTAAGAAGAAGGCCTAGTATCTACATTTAATATAAGAAAAACAAAATTAACAAAAATAAAATTAGTAATTTAACAGGTAACCTATCTCACAGAAAAGGAAAATTGAAGTAGGTTTATAAGTATGTGCTATACAAACCTGCATGGCATGTCGATGCAGTTGGATGGTATGCAAACGGACAAGACCATCTTTAAATTGGGAGAAAACATTCAAAGAACCATTTGTAACCATATGAAACAGAAGTTGAAGTGAATCATCTTCAATCAAACTTGGTGCGGCTGAAGGGTGGCTTGCCAAGGCCTTCATGATATGCACTACGCTTCCCTCTACCTGCAAACAGAATAGCTAACAAGTTATACACATTGAAAAAAGAAAAGATTCTCGTGTGGTGTTTCAAATTTGTAGCCGTCATAAGAAACACTAATCAGTTGCACTATTTTTTTACGATGAGTGAGAAATGCACTGTATTTTCTGGTTTGCATTAGCATGTGAACTTGTGAAGGTGTCAGTAGTTGCTTGAGTTTTAGGTGCTTGTGCGAATGCTGGAGCTTATTGTACAAAATAGTAAATTGTTGAAACAAGAATAGAGAGTTTATTCCATACTAAAGTACAGCACGCACCAACATACTTTTGTAGGAAAACCCCATATAGCTTGCATGTAATTGGAAGTTTTTATCAGATTAAGCTAAGCATAAGGAATGTTGGCCTCAACTTACCACACTCATAAAAAAATACATGTTTTATGATTCTATGTGTGCCCTCTAGCTAAAGTTTGGGGTTTCTAAGGTAGTCATTAGTGGTTCTAAGTCCTAATACATAAGGGACAGGTTAATTTCTGTTTCTAATATTATCTCGATGTAAAACAACTTCTTTGACTGAATATTTTTTGATGCGAACATCCAACGGAGAATGTTTATCTAAGGAAGAGACGAAGATCAACGGCCAAGATCATTCCACTTTATCTTAATTAACTAATTGTATTTTTTTTTTAATTTATGCATTTTGCATTTTTACCTCTTTTGAGGGAGTTGTCCTTTGTAAGCCCTACGGGCATGTCTGTCTTTTTGAGTTTCTTTCATTGTGAGGCCTATATATAGAGGCCCTTGCTATTGTATTGGTATGATGGTTTATTAAAAAAAATTTATGCATTCTTGTTCTTTGGAGAAAAACTTCGGTGAGATCCCTATGTGAGGGAAGCGTAATATCCACCAGCCTCAGGATGTATTCGGGCTCGTGGTTTGAAGTCCCTAGGTGAGGGCAACGAAGCACCCATCAGCCGCAGGATGTGTCTGGGCTCATGGTTTATCTTTCTTTCCCTACACTTCCTTTCTCCTTCTATAATTCCCCTTCTTCTTTCTTCAAGCCGCCGCTCTACCTCTCCTTCTCCCTTGACCACTGGCCAAACCCTCCATAGCCACCGGCCAAGCTTCCCTCTTCTCCTTCTCCACTCGTCGACCACTCCACCACCACCTCCTAGCCGGCCACCTCCCCTATTCCCTCCACCTAGCCGCCTACCCAAGACCCCACTTCCCCTCCTTCAACCACCACCGGCCCCAATCAATCCCTCTCCATTTGCCTCCAAATTTTGAATTATTCTTTAGTGCTTTCCTTATTGGATGCAAATCACAAAAGGATAGTATTAAAATCTCATTTCTTTTATTTAAAATTTGAAATTTTTTTCCTAATCTATTTTGTTTCATTTTAGAAAAGTTATTTAAATCAAACCTATTTGAATTTCAATTAGGATTTGATTTGGGCCCTTTGATCCACCCCCAATCATCTCCATTAATGCCACTTGCATGGCCGGTCACCTTACTCCCCTCCATTCATAAATTTCCTAAATTAGATCACTATTGATTTGGAAAGTATTCAAATTTGAATTCAAATACTTTCCAGATTAATGAAGGTATTTTAGGAAGCATCCCCAATTGATACAAATCTGAAATTAATTTAGATTTGAAGTCATCAATCAATAATCAATGCAAAGATCCACATACGTTGAATGTGGACGCTCCCCTCTTCCCTCCATTGGCTGGCCCCCCTTCCCTTTCTTTCCTCTCTCCAATTAAACCCATATCTCATAATTAAATCTCATTTATACCTCCCATTAGCCGCCCTACCTTAGTCCCCATTAAGGATAGTTTAAATTTCAAAATATTCCCGCCTTCATTTTAGGAAATCTGAAATTAAATTCATATTTCTTAATTTATTTCCTTCCTCTCTCTCTTTCTTAATTTCTCCCCCTCCTCTCTCTTGGCCGCCCCCCTTATTCTCTTCCCTTCTCTATTCTAATTAATTCCTTCACAAAATTGGAATTCCATTTAAGGGAATAATTAAGTAAACCCCTTCCCTCTCTTTGCCAATCAATTTGAAAATTCAAATTCACATGACCTCCCCCCTCTCCCGTCTTGCATCATTTTCTCTATTGAAGGTGAAGACTTGAAGGTATTAAATCAATCAGCCAATCTAGCTCATCTTACAAATGTTCTATTTTTTATCATTAACTTGCTTCCCAAATAAACCTCAGGTCTTTCTGGCAACATCATTCAGGTCCACTTGCTCAAAACACCTCAATATTTCGATGACAACTTCAATTAATTGAAAGGAAGTAAATCTTCAACATATGAACAGTGCACTAACCATATCAGTCCAAAGCTATCAATCTTTTTATTGAGTTAATTTTTTGCACTTCTAAGATTTATCTTTAATGAAATTTCGCATGATCATAGTAGCCTTGTCCCAACTAGTTATGGCTTTATGAATCCTCATTCTCCTTTTGATCATGTTAAGTGCTCCACATTAACTATATATTTTATGGATGCATTTTCTACCATTTTTGTACCTGCTTAAACCACAAATAATTCTGCCTCATCTTCAGTTGATGACACCTACTGATATGATCATTCCTAATTTCTTCATGCATCCACCTTAACTTTCTCACATTTGCTTTACTCAACTTGGCTATTAATTACTTTCCACCATAAAAAAAAAAACAAAAAAACAAAAAAAAACAATCCATACAATATGTATGGCCTAATTTTAAGTTTATAAAATTATCCTTTTTAAGTCTCCATAAAATTCATTTATCGAATAATACTTTAAAAGCACTTCTCCATTTCAATCACCAAGCCATAACTCTAAAAATCACATTCATACTATTTTATATAATAGATCCAAAATACTTGTGTTACATTATTTTTTAGAAATATTGACTACTAATGTTTATAGAAATTTTTTTGGGACAGAATATCTTAACTAAAATTTGGTCATAATGAAATTAGAAGGCACCGAATTTGTTATAAGAAGAATTTTGATTGATTATTCATATATTGTACTCATCTCATAGTAAATCCAATAATTTTGAAATATATCTTAACCTCTGTTTAAAATTGCGCGATAAGAGGCGCCTCTGCGCAATTTGACCCAAAACTGCCTTGAGGCTTACGCAATTCCTCTCCTGGCAGAGGTGTACGCCTCACTTGGACTGAGGCGCGCCTCAGAGGCGCAATTGTGCAATTCTGGCTGAGGCGTACGCCTCAAATATATGCTCAGTACATGCTCAGTACCGCTCAGTATATGCTCGGTATTTTAGTCAGGATATCCAAAATAATTTTTTCCCATTTTTATAATCCACGAAAATTCATATACTCATTCTTACTCAAATAATCTTAAGTCATTCATCTTATAAGAATTTTCTCTATTATTCTAATTGTTCACTTATTTCAATAGATGTTTCCTTGATAAGAATTGTGCCACCTATAGAAGGCATCTACCAAAGCTACTCATTTTGAATATCCTTTATAAACATCTCCCTAACAAATACAAAAGATATACATATATTGCTATTACTTGATGCAATCCCATAATAATTCGAAACTCTTCCGCCACTCCATAACTACTACTAATATAAGTTAACAATCCATTTTATACATTTTAACTAACTTCAACATATTTTTAGTGCACTTATTTTCTTAATGCTTACCGAACCAATTCTTATGGTACACAATTTAAGAACCTCTCAAGATCAATACAAATCATATAAAGATTACAAATTTACTCTTTATTCTTTTTCTTTTGTTGTCTTAGTAAAAAAAATATTTTTAAATTGTGGATCTTCCTAGAAATCTAAGGATTCTCTAAAATTGACATTATTTTGTAAGCCCATGAGCTATTACTCTCTCCCATAACCTCACCTTAACCGAAAGCATTATTTTTATGCAACTTCTTCAGAGAAAACTCCAGTTCAATTTTTGGATCATTTTTAATATACCTTATTAGTTTGTTATTTATGTTCTTCTAAAATCATTTCTTCCATAAAACTCTGATTCAGAATTTCTCAAAGAAGAATTTTCATCTTTTATTAATGCCTTCAGTTCAATTAAGACCTTAATATCTTCACTTCTATTGCATGTAACCTAAGCAAAGCTCTAGATCTCTTATATCATGTCTTAGCTATTTTTATAAATATAATTTTCTGTCCATAGTAGCTTATCATCGATCAAAAGTTGTAGCTTTCTAACATCTTTCAGGATTTCTAACTTTATTATAGCCATTATAAGCCAAAATGTTATTCATATTTTGTCACTCTTTGAAAGCGCATTATCTTTCCTTAACTCTCTGGGCCTCCTCACTCCACCACCAGGTCTACTTATTGATTATTTCTAAACTCCTGAAACTTATATAGCAATACCGCATTAGATTTGGGTCTACTAAATAATTCCAATTTATCTCTCTTAAAAACCAATCTTGAAAGATTAATTTCTTATATTTCAAGTCTCACAATTTTATCCTATGTTGTTTTGTTCATTTTCATCATAGTCCTAAGATACATCTGTAATTGTTACTTTCTATTGCACAGTCAAATTTCTCCTTATCAGTTAAAAGAAATTTATGAAGATAAGAAGATAAGGACCAAAATGATCCCTGGACTCTTTACAAAGAATCAAAATAGCCCCAATTATTTAAAAGTCTCATTTTAGTTCATTGATTTTTAAATGGATAAATTATCCCACAAAAAGACTAATGTAGAAATTGGTACTTCTATATAATCGGGGGCCACTTTGATTTTTTTCAAAAAAAAAAAAAAGTTAAGGGACAAATTCAGTTATTCAAGAGAAATACCAATCTTGATTCCATGTTGTAAATGCCAACTTTCTAAATAAATAGCCATATTAAGCAGTAATAACAGAGCTATCCAGACTACAACTATGCTTGGAATCGTTCTGATACTTTAAAGAAGTTTGTGATAATAGCATGCTAAGTACATCGACAGCTGCCACGACTCCTACCTCCCTAACCCTCCCCAAATATATGAACTTCAATGTAATTGCCAAAAAGGTTGAATTGTTGAACAAGCCCTAATATTTCTGGGTTAATGATTGCAGTTTAATACAAACGCAACAAATACAATACAGCCGGGTAAGATAATAGCCGAACTGCACTATGAAATGTTTCATAACAAAAGGAGCATTTGACAGCATTAATAATCTGACTAAAAATTAAATCAAGGCAGTTCAAAAGGAACATGGGACGCAAAGAAGATAATATTCTAGTACAGCCCTGTCAATAGAACAAAAAAACAGTGACCAAATAACAGATATCGAAATGAATTACATGCCAGAAATTGGAAGCAGCAACAAGTTGGTAAGCTAAATAATATAATTACATTTCTCACCACTAAACAAAAATTAGAAAAATAAAATAAAATAAACAGAAATAAGGAACATCAACATCATTTGAACCAAGTTTAAGTTACCTTCATAGGCAAAGAAGGTTAGGGATGCAAATCATAATAAGGATATTATAATATGGAAATGTACCTCTAGCCGACGAACATGTACATTATCTCCATCACTACTTTTAACACTTGAAACTGCTTCATCTGCCACAAAAAGCCTATGACTAGATTCATCAGGATTCAGTAGGGCATTCAAGATCTGAATAAGGCAGCAAAGAATGCCAGAGTCCAACAATGGCTGTTTATCAACTGGCTGCAGATAATAAATAAATAAATTATTATTTAAACTTGTGATTGTCATTGAAAAATAAAGTCAAGAACTGAATGGTTTGAAAACGTAAAGGCATGTATGAATAATGGCAAACTTATCACGTTAAAAGCAAGCAGAAAATTTTAATTGCATATTTAGACTAAAAGACTTTTAGTAAAGTATGAAGAATACAAAATAAGAAGTCTTCAGCTCAAAGAGAAATTAAGTCCCACGTACCCCTGTCACAAGAACTTCTACTGCATATAAAAAATTTGAACCCGGACTCATGCCATCCTGCAAGATTAACAATTCAAAATGAAACACCCCTACATAAAAAGGCTTAATGCGTCTTTCAAAACAACCATATCCAGATAATTTAGAGAAGAACAAACCTTTGTGACATTAGAAAAGAAGTTGATGACCGTCGCAACTTGCAAGGATCTTCCTTTACTATGCATTCTCAACTTCTCCACATCTGTCACAAAGGCTCTTCCAACAACAAAAGAAAAAATGTGTGCTTCAACTAACCTGTGATTGGAGCAATTTTATTAGTTAAACATATCAAATGAAAACCGTACATATAATAGAGCAAGAAAAAACTTCCCATAGCAGAATTCGAGATGCTATTTTGCTGAAAAACCAGCAAAGCATGATTTTGAAAAAATCTGGAACTGACCAATATAATCAAACCATGAATAAAAAACTTCATCAAATTCTCACAGTTCATAATTTCTACCAGAAAGTATAAATGTTAGGCGAGACATTATCAGAATTATGGATTCAATATAGAAGACAAAAAAAGATGATTATTTTACAAGAAGTTACAACCCTAAAAGGCATTCATGTATGATACACTTTATCAAGATTATTGCGCCCATGCTTGCAAGAAAGGAAGAGCATACCATAACAATAAGGAATCAATTTCAACGCACTTCTTCCTTCAAAACAGAAATAAAAAGCCGGCATGTAAAAATCAAGTAAAATTTTGTATTGTTAACAAAAGAAAGAAAAAAAAAAAAACTTAAGTACCCAACTTAAAAGAGAAATCTAAAACTCCAACTAATCCCCCCAAGGAGATGATAATTCCTTACAAATTGGTGGCTGTTATAAGTCTATTGGATCTAGTTCCATTTGCTCTAATGAACATAAAATTTACAGAATACAAGCTTTTAAACATGCCAAATAGTTTTAATTTATGAAAAAGAATTAAGCTATGCAATATCAGTATGTGTTTACTAGTTAAACAAAAGCTAAATGAAACTCTTAAAGGATTATTGTTTTTTTATGTTTGTGACAATGCAATCATTGCTAGAATATCATAAATTCAGAAAATTATCATCCTTATTAATCATAAGCTATAAACTTCTCCTAAATATTTGAGGAGCTTCATGAATCATCTTTCTCAATTCCTCTTTGACATTCTCAGACACTTTTTTCCCACCAAATTAATTTCTATGGTACTCATATACCTCTTTAAATTTAATTAAAATCATATGAAGATTCTATGTTGCTCTGTATACTTTTCAATTTTAATTTCCTTTAAAAAAATTATTTTGTAGTAGATTTGCCTGTTAAAAATCACATTTCATTCTTTTAAACTAACATGATTTTTTCAAGCCTATGATCATTTACTCTCGCCTATAAAATAATTGATGCAGGATGTCTTTGAGCTGGGGTTCCTAATGCATGATTAGGATAAGATGCGTAAAATCACACACCCAATATCAAACTTCCAATCTACGTATTTTTAAATTAGACAAAACTCATATCTTCTGATGAAAACCATAAAAAAGATACAAAATTCACCGTATATGATAATTTGATGATGATTTAAATAAAAAATTGCCTGTGGAAGATAAACCAAGATTTTACTATATGAAAGAAGCACACTTGGATAAGGAAAAAAAAGAGAGTAAGTTTAAGAAAAGCCTTTTATAGCGTACAAAGAACCTAGTTAAAAAAAATTTGGACAGAGAAGGGTGAATCGAATATCTTATAGTTTGTTGATATCAGTCATGACTTACAAAAGATACACCTACATGATTGGATCTCATGCTTCGTATTTGTCATTGACTTTATTAACAATCAAATACAACAACATCAAGCCTTTATCCCACTACATGGGGTCAACTAAATAAATCTTTTTTCTCCATTTTATCATATTAGGAGTGAAATTCTCATTTAAATCTAGCTAATAAAGAATGTCATTTCTAATATTTTCTAACCAAGTCTTTTTAGGTCTACCACCTTAACATAAGGCAAATCTAATACATCTACTCTCCTAATCGGATCATCGGAAGGCCGACATTTTACATGACCAAACCAACTAAGGCGACTTTCTCTAATCTTATCTTCCACTAGAGCTACTACAACATTTTCACGTATATGCTTAGTTTCGTATCCTATTTCTAAGAGTAAAGCCATTCATACACCTGAGCATCCTCATCTCTGCAACACTTAACTTAATAACATTAATTTAAAACTCACGAAATAAAAATGTTGTATTAGATATATGTAAAAAGATATGTAAAGAGCAAATTAACTGAAGTTGAAATTTAAAACTTACGAAATAAAAATAATTAAAGTAAACTAATAGAAACATTGCTAAGATCATTAATTTGCATGTCTCAATGAGCACAACTTGCATTTTCGACAAGTATAAACTTTCAAGATTTTCATCCAAGTCTAGCCTTAGAAAAAATTTGTCTGCAATGAATTGAATGTTTCATAATCATAAAAAATATGGTAATAATTATTGTGTTTCCTATAAAATAATTTAGAATAGTTACAAATAGGATTTTCACTCTGGTACACAAGATATCATCAATAACTAAAATTCAATGGAAGCAATCACATTATCTAAAATCAATTTTAAAACAAGATATGTAGAACTGCCTGGTAAAGCACCGGATGATTTCACGAGGAAGTGATAGAAAGATAGAAGAATCCAAGGTATTATTTATTGTTTCATAAACTAAGAACAAATCAAATACATTGAAAATTGAATTAATACAACAAATTCTTGGGGTTACTAATTTATATGTATTTGACTTGATACGTTGCATTATTTTATATGGTGTCTTTTTTTTGGAATATAATTTCTTAAAAGCTCTTGTAAGAAACCTTTTATAATTTGAACATATCATTATTTATCGCCTGATTTAATTCTACACACCTTTTGTTCACATTAGCAATAGACTTGTAATTATCATAATAAATTATCTATTTTGCAATAAGACTTTCATGCAAATCAAGTAAATTATGCAAACGACTACTATTATATGATGTAAGTAATAAATTTGCTAACTTACTAATTTGTCATAATGGATACTAATAAATATGCAATAACTAATTCCCGGGGAAGATACGATAAAAAAACTTGAAAACTGACAAATAATACATATGTACTATATCTATATTGACTCACAACCTCTTTAAAGAAAATCAATCTAAATAGCCTAAATATTAATTGTAATGAATTATGTACTTTAAGATTTTACAAGATTCATGGAGTTTTAAATTTAGGTTTTCGTTGAGGCAGTCAACATTAATAAATCATTTAAGATGAAGATGCAATTTAACTTTTAACAAATTAGTTAGTTTATTTTTGTAAACAAATTTTTTCTCCAACATTTTAAAAATATATGAACAATGAGATTGCTTCATGTGATGTCGACAGAGCACATAAAAGGCAACTCTATCTAAATTCTATTACCTTACACCCATTTTGCAATAACCCAAACAACACCAACAAATAAACCAAGTGAAAAAGTTTTTTTTTTTAGTTATATAGAAAGAAGCCCTTTTACAAATTCTTAGAAATTTTTTGTAGTTTAACATCATGCCAATCGAGAAGCCCTCTCCAATTTTAAAGGTGGAAATGCTCTGACAACAAAAAAAATTGCATCTGAGGCCTGAAATTGCCACAAAATCTAGTATTTACCCTGAAAAATAAATCAAACTTGAAAGAAACTACCATTTTACAGATCATTAATAGCATGCCAAGACATTTTATGCTAAGCTCTAGTTTACAGTTTTTGTTAAACTAACCAAACAGTGATGGAAATTATAGTTTTTTGTGAAACTAACCAAACAGTGATGGAAATTATATTGTAAGATTGTGAGAATGATCTTTTGCACTAGGCCAACCAAGAGGTTTGTCTTATGATAGCTAAATTGTTTATTGATCCAAATGATATCCAAGTAAAAAATTGTAATAATAAAGAGCTTTGGTTTGTAAAATGATCTACGGCCCAATGATTGGAGAAGGTTGTTTCTAAAAAGACATGGGTTCAAGCCATACAGTAAGATTTATCGCTCGTTATTCTCAAAACAAAAAAAAAACTATTTGGTCTTCTTTTGAAGCTAGTCAAATCCGACAAATTAGTTCAAACTTGTACTTGTAATGCATTTTGTAGCACTTAGAAATATGTGTATCTTAAATTACATCATCAATATTATATTTAAAATACTAAAATTTATTTTAATTTAAATTTTATATTATACTGTGTATTTTTTAATAGAAAATATTATAAATGACTTGCTTGAAAACTGATATCTGAATGGTTCGGCAATAAAAACTAAAAAACATAAAATTATAAAGACAAATGATGAAGTTTATTGGATATTTATTCAACGGATTAATAATTTTAACAGATTTTCAATGTAATATTCTATAAATTAAATAAAATTTAATATTTTAAAAAATATTACATGCATTTAAATACTTTCAAACTAATATAAAAAATGATAGAAGTATATAAAAATATTTATGATTTTATTATGAATGATATATCATATTGATCTTTAATTAAATTCATATCTTTAATTAAATTCATATTGTAAAATAAATTATAAGTTGTGTGAAATATTAAACTTATGTGTGTAGAGATAAACTTCAAAATAGTCCCCTAACAATTCACATTTGGCTACTTTAGTCCCAGAATATCAGTTCCAATTTAAACTTTTAACTATATAAAATTAATCCAAAATGACCCTTTTGGAATTAAATTGGGATCCATTTTATATAGTCGAGGAACTAAATTATGATCAATTTTATATCACAATTACAACATTAATGACTATTTTGGATCAATTTTGTAATGTTAAGAAACTAAATTAGAGAAACATGAAGCTCTGAGACTAAATTGGCCACAACACAAATAATTTGGGGGCTTTCTAATTTTTTCTAAAACCAGAAATAATATTTGTTGTTAACTGCAAAAAAAATTAAAAAAATTAAAAATGCAAATTAAAATTGTTAAGAATTAGGAGCAATAAAATCATTAAAAATAAGTAAACAATGAAAAAAAAAAAAACATTTACAGGAGCTTTACACTTAAATAGCAATAAAATTCATAGAAACAACTTTATGCTTTAAAAATTCAAGCTCATAAATACAACCCTTAGAATTTAAATATGAGAACTAATTGGTGAAGCTAATGAACACTTCAGATTATATTTTAAAATTGAAAGGCTAGAATCATAAATTGGTTGAAATCACAAGCAAATCTGTAAATAGTTGCACAGATTTTCAGTGGAGTAATCAAATATTTTTTTTGCTCTCAATTAATAAAACAAATATAGAAAATCACAATTAAAAGAAAAACAAATTGCAACCATAGATCAAACATTTACCAATTTAATCATTTTTAAAAGGATATGCATGTTAGTCAATGAAAGATCTGAATAGAAAAAGGTTAACACAAGTTTTTATAGATATGTATGAGAATTTCCTTTATAAAAAGAGCTTTTCGCTGCAAATAAAATGCCAATATAAACATATCAAAAACAAAAAAGTAATACAAGTGAAGGTCTTCATACTTGGTAACTAAGTGAGCTACATCAGATTGCTGCTTCATTAATCTACAAAAGGCATCTAGTGCCATGTTTAAAGCCGCTTCTTTCTCCTGCAAAGATAAATTTTAGAAAAAGTTGCACAATCGTTATGCTAAAATCATAAAGTAAACTATAAAACAAATGAGGTTTTGTGTATGGAACATGTTAGTTGAAAAGGAAACCTTCTCAGAGCTGGAAGAGCGGAATTCTTCCCAGAACCTCTTAAAATCAACCTCCAATTCATATTTTCCTCTGCATTTCCAAAACAGATACAAAGATATGCAGTAGCATATGACACAACAAATTAATTACAAGATAAAATCGTCTATGAGAAAAATTATATAATGAAAGGTTGCAAAAGAACTGAAAGGTTAAACCACACAAGAAACCTGGAGCAGATATACTTAAATTAGGATAATTGAAAGATCATACTCTTCACGAACTATAAAAAAATTCACCAGAAGACCATTTAAAATTATAAAAGTAAATTAAATAATTAACTATCTGTTCGATTTTCATGAAATTGGCTGGTTAAGAATTTTATCATCTACAAACTAAACGTGCAATACTTCATCCATGTTGGACCAGGTGTTAGTATTTTAGAAACAAATAATACAATTGTATCCACCAAGCTTATATATAAGAGCTTATATACAATCCAATACAACAATGAATAATATGAAATACAATGATCTTCATTGACAAAGTGTTATGTATATTTCATGTCAAGCCAGAGAAATTGAGTTTACATTTCCTCTATATTTTTATTCTCTTACTTTTACTTTTGGCTTGCTTTATTTTGTTTTTGCAGCATTTGGTTGCTTATAGATGAAATGACATTTAATGAACCAAATTTCACTAAAGCAAAGTGGGAAAGGTTGTGCATAAACATGTCGAGATAATTGGAAAGGAATGAAGACCTAATGGTATTTGGGATATATTGGGTGAAATTAAGATATAAAGCAATCCTAGTTGCTTAAATTACCCAACACTATCACCAAGCCCACTCAAATTTCCCACTCCTCCCAACCAAGAAGTTTGTTTAAGTAATTAGCACGTCCTAAGATTAATTGAGAAATTCAAATAGAACAATGGGCTAGCCAACCAAGTTGAACGCCTAGCACAGAATTTCAAGGTAAATCACTCTTCATCGCTTCCCAGGCAAGTTAGAGCACAAAAACCTCTTGTTAAAAAGCAGGAGTGAACATAAGCCAGAGAACAACATATTCTTATATAGATTAACAAAAAAAAAAAGAGATTGGATAGCATAGCAACATTATCCTTAATCCTTCATATTTCTGGCTTCAAGGAGAAATAGTAATGTAGTTTTGTCTATAAAGATGAGAAATCACTGCACAGTTTTTCTTGACTCTTCCCATTAGTTCAGCTTACATGGCAAATTCTGAAGCTCCTTCTAATAAATATTCCTCATAATTCCATAAGCACACCTTACAGCAAATCATTTTATTTTGATTTTGAGTGTAATTAAAATGATGTGATTGTTCATCATCCTCATCACACCTGTAATTATTGTCCAAAATACCTTCTAGGACTTCTTTTTTCCCAAAATGTTATTTCAACCAGGCGACATTCCATTAAAACTTATCAGTTTCAGTTGCATATACTAGCAGTGAATACAAAGAATGATTTATTCGAATAATACAACGGCTAAAAATGATTTATAATTGAGGGCAAGCCACTTAAACTCGGATAATCTACCAAGATTACCTTATCACCTGTATACAACAATTTACTCCTAAACATTACTTGTTCAAATCTTCATTGATCATGAAGTTGGAATCAAAATAATACAAGTTGATGGTGCATCCAATTATAATCAAAGACTATGCCACGAGAAGGCGCCATACGCTTTCTATCTATACGAGTTCTCAATCTGGTAAATCCTTCTTTTACACCAATATCCTCTTTTTACTCAGTCCCCACCACCAAAACAGTTCAAATTAGATTTTCATGTATGATCCAAACAATTTACCCCTCTTACACTCTACCATAAGTACACCGTATAGACAAACCAGAATCCGAATCCAGAAATGTACATAAAATCATCATAAAAGCAAGTGCTTGAACAAACCTGGCAGGGGAAGAACTCGGAGAAACGTATGGTGTCGAGGAAGAATCCGGCGCTCCTGAGGCTCCAGCTCCGGACGCCGCGGCTGCAGCCGCTGCGACGGCGGGGGACGAGTTGGCGGTCTGATGCTGCGACTGCGATAAACCGACCTTCTCTTTGATGTCCTTAAGCAATGACGCCCATCTCATCGTTTTCCGAGAAGATTGGAACATGCGTTGCTCATCCGCTTCCCTTCCACGTATCGCCCACGAAACCTAGATCCGATCCCTCGGATCCGCGGCACCCCAATACTTCCAACTCCCAACTAGATCGAATCCTCAGAGACCAAAACCGGCAGTGAAGGGCAGCTCCGATCGGCCTATAGACGGATTGATTTGCTCAGCCGGCGAGATCAAGTCAGGTTTTCGCCGCTTTTTCTCTTCTCAAAAGGATTTTTTTTCTCTGGTTTTCTCCCCTGAATCTTTCTCTTTCTATTTTTTCAGAGGGTTTATTAGGAAGCAAGGAAGCTTGATGACGCGATTTCTGTTGGGGCAAACCAATATAGAGAACTCTCTCTGTATCTCCTCTCTCCGTTCCTCCCCTAATCACGCCCGATCCGATTCGACATACGGGTGCCACGTAGGACGGAAAGGTTCCGCCACGTGGCGATCCCAGAAAGACGTGCGAGCCTCTTAATTTCAACTCCGTGGCTCTTAATTATTTCCAGGCTTCTTAATTTCACCCAAAAAGATCCCCACGGGACCACGGTGGGCCGCTTGTGGGTGTTTTAATTCTCAGAGTCTTCTACGTTAACGAAAATAAGAAATCTTTAGACTTCGAAGAGGATAGATAGCCTGTGCGGTCCGTCCGCTCTTTACTTTCGTGCGGCGTCAATGTTTAAGGTCACCGCCGGTAATGTTAGTTTATGTAATTTTTTAAGAGGGGTGGTGCAGTTGTATTAAACGTGCATGAAAATTTTAAGGTTTTTATTTGAACAATGCATATGCATCAAAAGATAAGGGCAAGATTTTGTATGACAATAATGATTGTTGCGTCCTGGAGTATTCGCGGCGGTAGAGAAATATAGTTTAATGTCTTAGTATTGTACGAAGATCCAGCACACAATTAGATAAGTGAGAAGGTGCAGCATCATAAGAGACACCAGAGTTTTTTACGTGGAAAACCACTGAAAGGAGGAAAAACCACGGGGCCAGGCCCAGTTT